AAAAAAAAAAAAAATTAAAAATAATAGGGATCTTTCTGCAACTTGCTTTCTGTGTTCAGTATTACCTTTTGAGCTTTCTCTATGCTGATACTTTAGATTTAGATCATTTATTTTAACTGTTGTAGTAGCATTCCAACATATGAGTGTCATCGTTCATTTACCATACTTCTATTGGTGGATATTTGGTGATTTCTAATATTTTGTTGCCATTCTTGTACATGTTAAAATTTGCCCTGATTTCTCTGTGGTATAAGTGGAATAGGTAGTAAGGTGTGTGTGTGTGTGTGTGTGTGTGTGTGTGTGTGTGTGTGTACACATGCACATGTGTTTATTGTTTTTGAGACAAGATCTTACTTTGTCACCTAGGCTAGAGTGCAGTGTTGTGTACATGGCTCACTGCAACCCTAACCTACTAGGCTCAAGCAATCCTCCTGCCTCAGTCCCCGAAGTAGCTGGGACTATAGGTGTGTGCCACCACACCTGGCTAATTTTTTGTATTTTTTTGTGGAGATGGGGTTTTGCCATGTTGCCCAGGCTGTATATTTTCAATATTACTAGATGTATTACCTCTTATCCGTCACAAGTGGAATCAATTTGCCATGTATAAGAGTTTCACATCCATGTAAGTGAAAATTGCTTTATAATATTCTCATATTTTATCCTTCTTTGCTTTTGGCATCAAGGTCATATAAGCATTCTCTTGCTATTTTATTTTGGTTACTAAGTGCCAGGTATAGCTTTTCCCATAATTTTATTTTCAAATTTCTCTCTCATTTTGCCCTAATTGTCTTTTGAAAACATGGAGTTGATTTTTCTAAAATGCAATTTAATGTGGCTGGCATTTAACTAATATGGTTAATATATATTTATTGTGAAATTGCCATATTTGTATTTCTTCTTTTAGTGTATTTCCTACATAGCCTGCTTTTTCACTATCTCTTTTTTCTTGCCTTTGCTGGATTTTCTTTACCCCTGGTCTTTTTCCCCTTTAGTCATTATCCTTCTGAATAACTGAAGTATCAAGCATTTTTCTTAGCCAGGTTTCGTGTATGGCAAAATCTTTGTCTTTTCTTGTCCAAAAATGTCTTTATTTTGTCATCTTTCTTTATGATAATTTATCTGGGTATAGAGTTCTAAGATGAAAGCTTGTCTCAGGACATTGAAGATACTGTTCTTTAATATTCTGGCTTTTTTGAAGAAGTCTGATATTGATATAATTATTTCTTTATAGGGGATATTTTTATTTATTCATGGTAGTTTACAACATTTTCTTTCTGACTTGAAAGTCTTGTGGTTGTACTGAACTTTGTCTAAGTGCAGACTTGCTTTTATTTACCATACTCAAGGACTTTGGACGTTCAGTGGTAGGATACTTGCCTTTCTTCCATTTTAGAAAAGAATCAATTTTTGTCTCTTTAAATATTGCCTAGGTCAAGGGTCCCCAAGACCGCTTCCATACTCATATATTCTCTAGAGAAACTCATGGGACTCAGCATATAGTTGTAATCATGGGTAAGATTTATTACAGTGATGTAATGATAAACAATTGGATTATAAGGGAAAAGGGCACAGACAGAATCTGGAGGCATCCATGTGCAGGCTTCCTTATGCTGTCTGCCTATCATGAACACAGAGCACACTCTAACTCCAGTATCAAAGGTGCACCAACATGTGTGATGTTTATGCCAAGGGAAGCCTATTAGATGACTCAGTGATTTCCCAAGATCTGTCATCTAACTTATTAAATCTGTCTTATCTGTGGCTAGTCTACTGTTCAGCCTATTTAGAGTTTTTTTTTTAATAATGCCTACTTTAAAAATACTCATCTGTCTTTTTTCAAAATTTCCTGCTATTTCCTTCATAGTCTAGTTCTTATCTTTGTACATTTGAAATATACTTATTTTAAAGCTCACATTGTTCTATTATCTACAGTTCTAAGAATGGGAGTATATTTAAATGTATCTGTTGATTCTCTCTAATAATGGATCAGTTCCTTGTAAGGTTTTAAATTTTCTACTCTGAACTCTTCAGTGAGAGTTGGTTTTCTGTAGAAGTTCTGTGATGTCCTCAACTATAAAAATATGAGAGAGAGAGAGAGTGTGTGTGCGTGTATGTGTGTATCTTTTGGAAAGGTTGCCACTGCTATGAACCTACCAATGAGAAGACCAGCTTTTATGTTAATTTTTCAGTTTATAGGCTCTGTACTAGTAATCATTTGGATTTAGTTACAGAATTAGGCTTTTGATGTCTTATATATAACATCCTCCTTGCCAGTTTCTTTGGCTAGTAGGGAATCTTTCTAGTTCCTGTTTAACAAGCATGGAAGCCCTTGTAATTCTAGCTTTAAGCCAAAATTACACTCTGACTTTCCTGAATACCTAAACATTTGTGCCCTATGGTCCCCTTCAAATCCTCAAGCTGTTCTGTTCACCCTGTCACTTTAAATTCCCACTTCATTTTGACACCCAATACATTTCTCTTCTTGATTTTGAGCTTGGGACATGGGGAGGGTCCTCCATCCATATCCAGCAGGAGTCCACTGCTTTGGCATTTAGGGATTAAAGTTATTTCATAAATTATAGTGGGAAGACAAGTTTGATGATTCATCGCATTTTCTTTTAGAAGTCTGGCAAGTTGACAAGCAGATAGATTGCTACAAGGAAAGCCAAGACAAACTTCCGTGGCAAGCTGCATTCACAGGCAAAGAAACACTGAAGGATGAAAGTGGTCAAGTATGTAAAATATGTAGAAAAAGCATTTTTCTCAGCACAGACTTTGTTTCTGTAAAACAAAGGCTCCCTAAATATTACTCATGGGAAGGGTGTTCAAAACATAATTTAAACTTTCTTAGTCAAAATAGAAGCTATGTAAGAAAGAAAGATGATGGATGTAAGGCATATTGGAAAGTATGCCTCCATTCTAACCTTCATAAAGCTCAACCTGTGGAGAAATTTTTTGACCCTAATCAACAAGGGAAAGCCCTCCACCAAAAGCAAGCCCTTCAGAAAAGTCAGAGAAGTCAAACTGGGGAGACACTCTACAGATGTACTCAGTGTGGAAAAGGGTTTATCCAGAAAGCAAACTTAGTTGTACATCAAAGAACTCACACTGGAGAGAAACCTTATGAATGCTGTGAATGTGCAAAAGCCTTCAGCCAGAAGTCAACCCTCATAGCACACCAGAGAACTCACACAGGGGAGAAGCCCTATGAATGTAATGAATGTGGAAAAGCCTTTATTCAGAAGTCAACTCTGATTAAACATCAACGAACTCATACGGGAGAGAAACCATTTGTATGTGCCAAATGTCCAAAAGCCTTTAAAAGTTCATATCATCTTATTAGACATGAAAAAACACACATTAGACAAGCATTTTATAAAGGTATTAAATGTACTACATCTGGCCTTATATATCAAAGGATTCACCCAAGTGAGAAACCTGAGTGCAGTAAACTTGGGAAAACCTCTGATGAGAAGCCTAGTCCCACTAAACATCAGATAACTCACACAAAAGAGAAAATTTATGAGTGTAGTAAATGTGGGAAAAGCTTCAGAGGTAAGTCACACCTCTCTGTTCATCAGAGAATTCATACAGGAGAGAAACCCTATGAATGTAGTATATGTGGGAAGACTTTCAGTGGAAAGTCACACCTCTCTGTCCATCATAGAACTCATACAGGAGAGAAACCTTATGAATGCAGAAGATGTGGGAAAGCCTTTGGGGAGAAGTCAACCCTTACTGTACATCAGAGAATCCATACAGGAGAGAAACCCTACAAATGCAACGAATGTGGGAAAGCCTTCAGTGAGAAGTCACCACTGATTAAACATCAGAGAATTCATACAGGAGAGAGACCATATGAATGCAGTGACTGTGAAAAAGCCTTCAGTAGGAAGTCAACTCTCATTAAACATCAGAGAATTCATACAGGAGAAAAACCTTATAAATGTAGTGAATGTGGGAAGGCCTTCAGTGTGAAATCAACTCTCATTGTGCATCACAGAACTCATACAGGAGAGAAACCTTATGAATGCAGAGACTGTGGGAAAGCATTCAGTGGGAAGTCAACTCTCATTAAACATCAGAGAAGTCACACAGGTGATAAAAACCTATAAGTATACTTGAGAGTGGGATAATTATACTAGTAATTATACCTCATTACATGTTAAATAATTCATCATGGGGAGTAATCTTATAAATGTCAAGAATGTTGGAAACTCTTCATATATTAATATTCATTTAACTTAATAAAAGGTACAGAAGTATAATTCCAGAGGCATCAATAAATGTGATCAATTTTTTCATCCAGAATTCTTCACCCAGGAGTGAAAATCTGTATCTCAAATAATTTGAAAGGGTCCAAACTGAGTGTAGTGATGTGGGAAAGCCTTCAGAAAGAATGTAAATGGCACTGTTTATCAGAGTATTTATACTGAGAAAAACTAAGAATTTAGTGAGCCATGGGGTGTGGTAGGTAGCTCACACCTGTAATTCCAGCACTTTTGGGAGGCCAAGGTGGGCAGATCACTTGAGCTCACAAGTTTGAGACCAGCCTGGGCAACATGGTAAAACTGTCTCTACAAAAAATACAAAAGTTATCTGGGTGTGGTGGTGTATACCTGAAGTCCCAGCTACTCGGGAGGTTGAGGTAGGATGGCTTGAGGCCAGGAGGTGGAGGTTGCAGTGAGCTGAGATCATGCCACTGTACTCCAGCCTGGGTGTTACAGCCAGACCTTGTCAAATAAATAGACAAACACAAACCCATATTATAAATGAGAGGAATCATGCTCTATATTCTTTTTTTTAATAGAGACAGCGTCTTGCTTTGTTGCCCAGGCTGGTCTTGAACTCCGAGCCTCAATTGATCCTCCCACCTTTGCCTCCCAAAGCACTCAGATTATAGATATGAGCCACCACACTTAGCATATTCTTTACCAAACATTTTGTGGAAAAGGTATAGAGGTGGCAAGCAAACACTCAATTATAAATTTAAGATATGTTCACTGTGGAGTAGATTATGACTTTTTTTTTTTTTTGAGATGGAGTTTCACTCTCATTGCCCAAGCTGTAGTGCAATGGCGCAATCTCAGCTCACTCCAACCTCTGCCTCCCAGGTTCAAGCGATTCTCCTGCCCCAGCCTCCCAAGTAGGCTGGGATTTCAGGCATGCACCACCATGCCCTGCTAATTTGTTGTGGTTTTAATAGAAACAGGGTTTCACAATGTTAGCCAGGCTGGTCTGGAACTCCTGACCTCAGGTGATCCATCCATCTTAGCCTCTCAAAGCACTGGGAATACAAGTGTGAGCCATGGCGCCCAGCCTAGTATGACATTTTTAAAAGAATAGTATAAAGCATAAAATATCCTACGTCGGTTAAACTCCCAGATCATTTTCCTAAACAAATAAAAAAATTGCTTCCTTAAATAGGGTAAGAGAGGATGAGTCATCAGGATCCCTGAAACAAAGATCTCAAACAGGAGACTTTATGTATATTATTCATCAATATCTTCAGTGCAAAAACAAAGCCATTACAGAAAGGGCATATAGTAAGTTTTTACATACTTTCCTTAGGAACAGTGCTTACAACTTAAAAAATCTCCATGTTTTAAGAAAGAATAATTTTGTGGTGAAGCAATAAAAGATTTAAAAATTTCAGAGCATCTCCCATAAGAGCAGTATTATTTAAAGTAGCGAAAAAATAAAAGACAATTTAATATCCAGTGATAGCTGATTAAAAATTGATATGTCAATTAGGTGAAATAATATACACCAATTAAGACTATTTGCAAATTCGGGAAAATGTTCATGGTAAATCATTACGTAAAAAATATAAAACAATATACCATATGATTGATATTGTAAAAACATAAAGTATATGAACCATTATATCAGTGATTCTGGGTGGTTGGCGTATAAAAATTTTGCGATGAGTAAAGTTATATGCACATGTATGTATAAGTATAAATTTGTATTTCATCTATTTTAGGTGAGTATATGTGTGTGTATAGATAAACACATGGAACAAAAAGCTAGGTACATCTATGTAGTGTGGGTGGGGGGAGCTAGGAAAGAAATACACCAAATTATTAAGTAAATTGGCATTTGAGTGTAGAGATTATTGATGTGTAAAAAAGTTTTTGGATGTAGTCCCCAGAAATCACCAATAAAGCATATCATTTAAAGTGTATATTATGCATGTTTATTTTCTTTTCCAATCCATTTTCCCACTCAGCTTTGTTTTTAATATGTATCATCATTCGCTTTTTAAAATGATCCCATTTTCACATATGTATACATATTGCCTATTTGCTTTCCATATGATTAAGTTTACGGTTTTGAGAGCATACACAGTTGACCCTTGAACAACATGGGTTTGAACTGTGTTTGTCCATTTATATGTGGATTTTCTTGCACATGTGCAACCACTGAAACAGCAAGATCAACCCCTCTTCCTCCTCCTCCTCAGCCTATCCAACATGAAGATGATGAGGATGAAAACTTCTTATGATCCACTTCACTGAATGAATAGTAAATATACGAATGCATACATAATACACAAAATGTGTTAATAGACTGTATACATTATTAGTAAGTCTTCTGGTCAACAGTAGGCTATTAGTCAAATTTGGGGGAGTCTTAAGTTATATGCAGATATTTTACTGCTGGGAGGCCAGCGCCCATAATCCCATGTTCCAGAGTCAACAATATTTTGCATCTTGAGAGTAGGTATCCTATAATTTTTGGAGGCAGGGGCTCTCAGTATGTTGCTCAGGCTGGTCTCAAATTCCTGGACTCAACCAGTCCTCCTGCTCAGCCTCCCAAGTAGCTGGGAATACAGTATCCTATGATTTTAATAATATCTGTATGTGATTTTCTGACAAAACTAAGCATCTCGATCGCTTTTTACACTATAACCACCAAATCCTATGACATTAAGTTACTAGTTAACAAATTTTACAAGTGAGAGATATAAGGAATGTTTAAGTGTTCAATTAATGAGGCAAAATGAACTTCTGAAGAAAGCTCTTTTCACTGTGGTATTTGTGAGTGCTGCTGAATGCTTGTATTCCCTCTTGTCCCTGTCCTTTTGTTAGCAGTTGTGGCAGACACCCTAGATGACCCCCAATGATTAATGCCCTATATAATATCTTCCCTGAAGGTGGGCAGAAGTGAGACTGCTTCTAGCCAATAGACTATGGCAAAGGTGATGGTATGTCACTCCCGTGACTACATTGTATTATATGACTGTCTTAGCATACTGGAGAGAGATTTTCCTTGCTGGTTTGATGAAGTAAACAGCCATAATGAAGAAGCCTATGTAGCAAGAGACTGCAGCTGACTGATAGTACCTGAGGGAGCCCTGAGCTAAGACAATGAGATTTGAATGGAAAGATCCTGGTGATAAGACAAGTGAAGAGAAACAAGTCCAATAGACCAAGCAACTTTTCCCCACAAGGACTATACTAACTGGTAAATGGCTTGGGATAGATTTGGAAATTCACAGCAGCCAGGTGCAGAGCTTTCAGTAGAAAATTAATGTGCCAAGGAAATCAAACTTGAAGTTCAGATTCCACCAGGGATGATGGCCCTTGTTAAATACCACAGGTTTGTTGGACCCTCTGAAAGACTTTACCTAGGAATTAGGAGTAAATATAGACTAGATCTTAAGATTGATACCTCACCTTGAATGAGCTCACTAACTGAATTCAGGTAATTTGCTCCTACTATAATTGCCTTCAGAAACTGAAGCTTGGCTGTGTGTGGTGGCTCATGCCTGTAATCCCAGGACTTTGGGAGGCCAATGTGGGAGAATTACTTGAGGCAGGAGTTCAAAACCAGCCTCACAACATAGTGAGACTTTGTATCTACAATAAATAAAAAACTACCCAGGTGTGGTGGCTCATGCGTGTAGTCTCAGCTACTCAGCAGAGTGAGGGGGAGGACTGCTTGAGCCCAGGAGTTCAAGGCTGCAGTGAACCATGATTGTGCCACTGCACTCCAGCCTGGCTAACAGAGCAAGACACTGTCTCTATACAAACAAAAAAAGAAACTAAAGCTCATCTAGAGCTTTTATAATTTCTCATGCACAATGGCATTCAATCAAAAATTGCCAGGTATACCCAGAATCAGAAGAAATACATGGATAGTAGAAGCAGGCCCACAGGGTTTTCAGATATAAAAGTTATGAATCATGGATTCTAAAATAACTGAAAAATATGGTCAAGAAATATTTAAGATGCATAAGAAAATGAATTATTTTCAATAATCATTTGTGCTTACTTGAAAATGTTCCTGGAGTGTTTCTAACTGTCCTTTATTGTTTGTCTGGGGTCTCAAATATATCTCCATCTAATTTATGGAATTTCCCTTTTCTTTGGCATTACAATTCTGGATAGTTATTAACTTTGAGGGGTGGAACTGGATTGGAGAAAAAGTAATGGCTCTATAACAAGCTAGAAACTTCTTCTCTAAAGAAAAGTTATCTGCAGAGGACGATATTGCTTTGCTTCTGATATGCTTTGGCTGTGTCCCCACCCAAATCTCATGTTGAATTGTATCTCCCACAATTCCCACGTGTCGTGGGGGGGACCCAGTGGGAGGTAATTGCATCATGGGGTCCAGTCTTTCTCATGCTATTCTCATGATAGTGAATAAGTCTCACAAGATCTGATGGTTTTCAAAATGGCAGTTTCCCTGCACAAGCACTCTCTGTTTGCCTGCTGCCATCCATGTAAGAGATGACTTGCTCCTCCTCGCCTTCCACCATGATTGTGAGGCATCCCCAGCCACATGGAACTGTAAGTCCATTAAACCTCTTTCTTTTGTAAATTGCTCAGTCTCAGGTATGTCTTTATCAACAGCATGAAAACGGACTAATACACCTTCTAAATCCTAATGAATTGTACTGTGACTCACACAGGGAGTTTTCAAGGGCTTCATACAACATTTCTATCTGGCACAGACACGTCAGCGCCATATTATATGCTAGGTCATACGGCCCAAGAGACAGTGTGCATGACAGATCAGGTCTGTTTAAAAGTTATTCTTGCTCTGGGCCACAGCAAAAATTGGCAGTTTTGTGGGTTAGTCAGTAAATGGACTGTAGCAGCATGACAAAATGAGGTTTATGGTGCCTAACACAAGGAGTGATTTCTCAAAAGTAGTATAATTCTCCATTGCAGATTTAATGGCCTTGCTCCAAAATCCCAGGGATGCTATCGCACTTCATTTTTTATACCCCAAAGTCAGCCAGATCATATGATGTATG